AATTGGTCCGGATTAAACCAAATACTACATGTTCAAATTACAGATGTGTGATGGTACTATGAAAAAAATCAGTTCCTGTTTTTCCACATGAATAATACTTTTACACAGATATGCTGAGGTAACAATATTAAAGCTTTCCGAATCAAAATTAACATTAATTTGGCATCATACCATACTCAGTTTAAAAACTATCCAGAAAAACACTGCTAAATGTGTGTGAAATCTTATGAAAGATGAAACACACACATCCCACTAGATATTTTAGCAAAATGAAATAAAAATTACTCTTATGAAGTATCCCTATACTCCATATGTATATATGTATATTATGTGGCCTTACAGGGGATACAGATATCCACAATAACTACACGTTTCTAGAAAGAAAAACTTAGCCAACAGCAAAAACACTATTAAAAATTAGATATCAAGGGTGATAGACCTCCCATCCTCTATGTGTAAGGTATTACATATGCATTCTTTTATTCTTTATATTCCTTAGAGAGAAATTAGAGTGTTAAGAAAAATACCTTTTATAAAGAAAAATATAAAAGAGAGATATTAATTGTTCCTGTTTTACCAAATCTGAAAAAGGGAGGAGGGGGAAGATTATAACACTAATAAGTTTGCACGACTTTCCAAAACTATACAAAAAAACTGTGACAGTATAACAAACTAACAAATCTTGAAGCAATAAACAATTCTTATATGCAGTTTACAAACCTAGAGCAGATGAGGTGTGACCAGGTTAACAAAATGGGAAACTACTTCAAAAATGTTCTCTAGTTGCTGCAGTATCATTGCAAGGGTAACCTGCAGTGTTACTGAAATGAAACTGGTTTAGCCCCATCAGACAAGAGACCAGCTTAGAACCACATATACTGCATGGCTCCAAAGACCTCCGCTCGGAGCAGGCCAGATGGAGAAACAAAATCACTCTCATTCTTAGAAACTGGTTTCACCAGGTCATGATTGATTTCATTGGTGTGAAGCCTGCAGCAGCACATATCTTAGCTTCCTACTCTACACCTGGCTGGTAGATGAATAAGGAACCTAGATTCCAATACTATAATTCAGAATCATAAAAAAAAAAAAAACTTCTCAACTTTTAAGTAGCATATAGTCTTTAAAATACTGCAGTCTACTTTGAGCCTTATAATTAACTACGAAATCATTTCTTTGCACATTTGATTCTTTATGAGGACTTAAAAAGACATATGCAAACTTGGTTTCTGAAACTTCTTAATAATATAGGCAAAGTGCATCGCAACCCTTCTGCCCATCAGAAACAACCCAGCTTTCCTAGTAACAGTGGCAGAAGGCTTTTCATCAGAAAAGCTAAAAATTAAGCTATTGTCAAATACATTTTTTGCTTCTTTGACAATGCAATTTAGTAGCTGAAAATAAGGGACATTAGATCAGCCTTCTCATTAATAACTATAACCAAAACGCCTCTAGAAGGCCACAAATTATTCTTTGGGAACTGGTGCTTGCCATCACTAAAAGCAAGATGTAATTTAATAGTCAATGTATGTAGCTATAAAAGCAAAGAGAAGAACTTTCATCACTAAATTGACTCAACAATATTATTTTGCAGTCATATATAACTTTGCATTTTGCAAGGAGAATTTTAAACTTGGACAACTTTCCTGTGCTTAATTCTAATGGTTTAGTTTTAATAACAAAATAAACCTTGGAGTTTGCTTCCTAGTCTTATGAATTTTAATTTTGGCCTATCTCCATTGCACACAACTATTTTCTTTAACATTTTCTTTCTTCTAATATTGAATAAACGTACAGATAGAGGTCTTGACTGATTTGATGCATGATGGCTTGCACAGTGAAAAACTACTTCACCTTCACCACTGAGTATTCCTCTTCACTATATGCTAAAGCATTAAGTTGAAGAGATGAAATTGACTCTGAGCTGCAGGGCTAAAGGACAAGGCTATTATGAAGGTCACTTCTGCAAAAGCTGAATAGCAGTTCCTATATGTAAAGATCTGGAACTCCCCTTTCCCGCTGCTCCTGAGCCAACCTATATGCATGGACCTGACATAAAACCCCATTCTGTGCTCTGTCATGAACTTACCTCTCTGCAGGGCTTAAATAGCTTAGATCATCTACTGTTTCATTCCAAGCCTGGCAGCTTTTCCATAATACTAAAAATCTTCTCAATAAAATTTGAATTTCAGCAGTCTATTTAGAATTAACTTCAGGATTTCAACTTCATATCATTATGTTGCCACAAAATTACCTTCCTCCCAACCCTCAACAAATTGTTTTAACTATATGTTTTAGACTTTTTTTAGGTCATTTTTTCCAGAACGTGCAACAGCGTATTTGGCTTCTTTAACATAAGACAGTGAATAACTGTTGTAAAAAGAGCTGCCTGTTTACTATGAACAAGGCTGAGGTTGGAACAAAACAGTGTACAAGTCAGTGGTCAAGTCACTGTGAAAATAGCCAAGGCAAAGTTCAAAACAACAGCTCCCACAGCTTATGTGTCTCGATCTCCTTCTGTAACAATCTTTTGAGACACGTACAATGTGGAAAATAAACAGCTCATGACGAAATAACTTTAAATATGCATTAGGTGGGTCAACAGACTTACTGTATGTTTATTTTTATGCCAACAGAAATCATTAGCATAGTTTCCAAAAGAAATTCTTCGTGAGTAGCAAGATATTTAACTTAGGTTCTTCTGTCCAAACAAGCACAATAGTCCTTATTATATCACATATGCTGATGACTAGAATTACAATGCTGACTACAAAAATGGGTTTAAACCACTCTGTTCAAAAAGCTTTATTACGATGCACACTGGACAGAGAGCAAGAAGAAATTCTAACTGCTATAGAAAACAACTTAATAATACCCTTTCTTTTAATCCCTACTTCTGCATCCTCACACTGTGCATTTTACAGCCCCCCTTTTTCCGTAAATTTATTTTTTAACCATTAAAGCATTTCCAAGGACTATTTATCCCCGGCAATCAAAATATGAGCATATTACATTTCAGATTGCAATTATTAATGTAGCAAACATTATGCTACACACACTTTAAGCATCCAGGGAAGTGCCGAATGATAAAAATAGCTCATGGTAAGCCATGTTTCTGCCCTCCATGCCTTCTTCCCTATGATTTTTCAGATTAATTATTGACCCATTAAGTCACAATGACTATTCAGGGTTGTTTAAAACCCACTGAAGTCAGTGGAAAAACTCCTGCAGCCTGCAGAGAACCTTGGACTGAATGCTTACATGTTAGTACCAATTAAGACGGTTTAAAGTGGAAGTGCTGCCAAAAGCAACAGTCCCACCTTCACCCATTGACACCTGTTTCTTCCTGTTTCCTTGCCAAGTTCTCTTACACCAGCAAAAGCACCAGTCCAGTACCAGGAGAAATCAGATCAGGTAACTGGCAAAAGTTAAAATGACCTTTTTTCCCTCCTCAGAAATGGAAATAATCTGGCTCTCTCTCTCCCTTACCAGGTTAATGCATATACTGCTGCTAATAATAAATGCAAGGATAAATTTTGCTCTTGGTCTGTATAGCAACTAAGAGCATGCTACAGTGCATCTCCTAGGTCATTAAGAGGAATATTGTCCCAACCAGCTAGAATACACAAAAAAGACAGGAGTTTTGCATCATTTCTACTTCGGTTTTGCAAGTCTATTTAAAAAATTCTTTACAAATCAAGACTAAGACCATAATAGTCCACTGCTGCATTGAGTTCCAAGTATACAGAAAGCAGGAAAAGCTTTTTGGAAAAGATTACAGACAGGAAGCAAATGAAGGTGATTTTCGTTAAAATTAAGCTATCAAGAATTTCATGGCTTATAGTACAACCCAGCAAATATGTACATACAGGCAGCCTACATGCATACAGGTATATACAGTGCATCTGAATGTTTGTGAGAACTTCCTCCTGAGAATAATCTCACCAAAATCAATTAAAATGCTCAGTTAAAAGTTATTTAACAAAACATGCATCTGCATTACCTATTACCATTACCTCTTTATGATAATTTGGACATCCTAATATGATATGCATACCTAGAAAATTGATATGTACATACAAAGTCAACTAATAATTGATAAATGAACTGCTCAGAGAAACATGAAAATATCTTCAACTTTAGCAGAAATGTAAGTAAATAATAATCAGGCTAGCATAATCTCAGTAGTTGTGAGGACTATATGGTAAAAAAAATATTAATGGAAATGTTAATATATTTTATAGCATATTTAAATAAGGATCCATGGAGAATACCAAGATGGAAAGTCAGCAACATGGCCTCCTCAAATTGCTATTCAGCAATGTACAGCTTTAAGCATCACTGTGCTGCAAGTTACTTATATGATCGTGCGCTTTGCTGGTTCAGTGTGGAAATATAAAAAATATGAACAGATGTGCCTATGTGAAATCCCCAAATTTGGAGTTAAAGTTAAGGATTCATTATTCCTTAAGTCACTAAATATAAATCCACACACAAGCACTACCTCTCCCCTCTCTGACTGCCTTTGAAGAAAGTTTGGATACAATTATCTTCTTCATAGGCAGGAGATTAAACAAAAGCACAAGAGAACAAAATTAAAGTGCAAACAGAAGCTGTTTTCAAAGCAAACTATGGCATTTCTCCATATTATTTATTTTACCCTAACTGAAAGATTCTTTTTTTAATAACACTTTCTTCCCTTCTCATTTCCGGTCTTTGCTCCCTTCTTGCACTTACTAGGTTTAGTGAATCCACTGAATTAAAAGACATTAAAATTACCCTACTTTACAACACTACTTTTAACTTTTAAACGACAGACTAGCACAGATTGTGTTATAATCAGAGAGGGACACACTTCAACACAATATGTATGCAAGTTGTGTTTGGAGAAGTTTCTTCAGTGACAGCGTTTCTATTGTATAGATGTAGCACCTTTAAATAATCAATTTAATTCAAAGCACTCCTGGGAAGGAGTCATTCACTTACCCGTATCCAGCTGTTGGCCTTCAGTTCCACAGGATTCTGTGGTTCACTGCTGTAGAGACAACATAAGCACCACATCAGAGTCTTCTGGCTTTCATCTGCAGAAAGCAAAGTAAAAAAGGATACATTTAGGGGAAAAAAAAAAGAAAAATCAAAACACAAGACAGAATTACACACAACGATCCCTATCCACCAACAAAATTGAAGGCCTAAATATCAGTCTCAACTCATAATGCCTCTGTTCTACCAGATTCACACCACATATTTAATTATTCATATGTAGTTCTTGTGTAATCATTTCCTTCAATAGCAATTGAAAAGGTATCAGAGCTTATGATCTATACAAAATTCAGACATTCTTAAGAAAGATGTACCACCTAGCAAATTGTTAACATAAATAATACCTGAAGCTATCATTAAGGAATTTTATTTAAGTATCTAAGTAATGTCATTTATAATAAACAATATTCAACAGTAGTACAATAATCACTGCATTGTGTCCAAAGTTTGCACAACTAAAGAGTGCCTGCTTCTGAAAAAATTAAGTTTTGCATGCATGAAATCATTCATAACGAGAATGTAAAACATGGTGCTTTTGTAAAAACAAATTAAGATTCTCCATGCTTCAGGAAATTCACATTTTTGCAGACAGCAGAATATCTGAACACTAATGGAAAAAATCCTGTTGTGGTTTTCTGTTCAGGATCAGATCGGGTTTATATTTAATTCCAACCAACTACTGTTAACAAGATGCCATCTCTAAAATCCTACTATACTTAGCAATATTGCTACCATTCAGATGCACAGGCAATATTACAGAAGAGCTGATTATTTGGAATACGCACTTGAAGAGCCATTTAATTCATGATTGTTTCCCATAACTTTGCTTTCATTTGGCTTTCATTTTATGTAAAAATGTTCTTTGGCAGATACTAAGAGCCTCTACACTGAATTTCATCCCAGTGTAAGATTCCATCATTGTAATATAAATTATGAAAACTAGATGTACTATTACAGCTCTGATACAATATTCACTTACGAAGTGCTACTATTTTTAATAATAATACAAATGAGTATTGCTACCTCAGTTTTAGAAATTACATTAGGAGATCATTTGAATATTGCAAGGCTCAACAAATTGTTTCTGCTGTTCTCTTTATACTCATTATCCAGGATGTAATAAACAGTCTCACTTAGAAGTGCTGTGTTGGCAAAACTTGTATTAAAAATAAAAGCTCCAATAAGCAATGTCTGTATTTTCATCCCACGATCAGAGATGTTAATATTGATTTAAACCAGTATTCCTCAGTAAATGTCTAACAAGCCTGTAGGCCATCAGTGGCCTCCCACTGACTAACATCTCTGCACAGAAATGGTTTATAAAAACATACACATTTAATTAACTACAATTTGGGATATTCTGCCATTGTACGCTCAGGGATTTTTTTTTAATATAGGTTTTTATGAGGCTAATAACTTCCTAGGTTGTTTACGATCAGAATAAAAAAGACATCTTGCATACTACTCAGCAGAAATTTGAAGTATCCATACTCCTTTATTGCAACCATACCCAGCTAGCATTCAGATATCAGCACTAATAGTCAATTTAATCTCCTTCAAAACTCATTTTTTCTAGACCAGCTCTGATATAAAATTATACAGGAGCTAAAAATAACGAAGAGTGATTTATTTGTCCAACCAGCTCAATGACAGTCATTTATTTCTCAGGAAAAAAAGAGTTTAAATACTATAAACAGACACTGTTTTAATATTAGTAACTGAAATTATCTCAAAGGCCAGACTTTCCTAACAGAAAAAATATACAGAGTCAAAACAAACAGAAAAAAATAAATCAAGTCTAAACCAGCTATCCCAAATGAAACATATGTAGTTCAAGTGTCTCCAGTCCTCCTTTTGCCTCATCCTATTTGCTTCATCCTCTAGCTGTGTATCTACAGTATGCCATATAGTCATTTTATTTAAGCTATGGTTTTTCAGTAACCAGAAAAATCAAGGAAACATACACGCAACACCTTCACCTGTACTTACAGACAAAAAAAATTTTTTTGCTACTCAAGAAGACTGCCTGCATGCCTTAAACTAAATTGCACATATTGTTGCCTGTCAGTAATGTTAATGAGTACAATGACAGCTAAAATGATGAAAGTAAAGCTTTAACAAATGAAGTGCAATTTGCCAATATAACGATTTTACACAGATGTAGGTATATAAACTCAAACTCAACCTAGTTGAAACCAGCATATATCTGTGTCATAGCCATGCTTACAGTTCCTCTAAAATTGAGAGCTTTTACAGCTGAGCAATTTTCCCTTGACAAGGACACAACTGAAAGATCTATAGTTTCCTTTAGATCTGTGAAAAGAAGGTAAAGGTGTTATCCAGTCCTCTTGCCGAAGTACCCAATAACACTTCGGGGGCCACTTCGAGGTTCATCATATTCTTTTCACAGCTGCTCTAAGATTGAGACAGAAACAAGGGGAAGATCAAGAATAAGAGATAGATCTTTTAAACAATATTATGGCAACTGCAAAAGATGATCACACCAAAAGGCCTAAAACAGAGAACCATGGAAAAGTTAGCAGTGTTTTCTTTTTTTTTTTTCCTCTCCCATTTTTCTAGTAATTGTGATCCCCACAAAAAGCCTACCACTGTGGTATGAACTGAAAGCCTTTTTCTGGATATGGACTAAGGCATTTGATCTTATTACGGTTTGAAAGAATGCTTACTGTATCTAAAATACCTGATAACTACATCCAGAGGAACAAAATTAGCTAACTCAAAGGTGAAAATTACACTAAAAAAAAATCACAGAATCACGGAATTGTTGAGGTTGGCAGGGACCTCTGGAGATCATCCAGGCCAACCCCCCTGCTCCAGCAGGGTCCTCTGGAGCACATTGCCCAGGACTTGCGCTCTGGGAGCTGCGCTCTAGGCCTGGCTCTTATATAGGCCTCTGCCTAGCAGTGACTCACAAGGGTGCTTGACCCACCCAATCAGGAGCCACCTGAAACAAAAGCCCCAACTCCCTCTGACCAGGGCAGCCCAGAGAGCTCGTTAGCAGCAGCCCCACCTAGCTAGAACTTCCCAGGAGAAGTTAAGTCAAGGTCCCCTGCAGGAGTCCTTGCCCAGCTCTCCCTTCCTGCTAGCAGCAAGCACCGTCTAGTTCCTCGGGGGTCCCCAGAAAGTCTCCACAACTTCCAACAAGGCCCACAAAAGGCCCAGGCAGAGCCCAGACACTGCTGCGCAAACTGCTGCGTCTGTTCGCTGCCTCTGTTGGCTGCGCTCTGGGAGCTGCGCTCTAGGCCTGGCTCTTATATAGGCCTCTGCCTAGCAGTGACTCACAAGGGTGCTTGACCCACCCAATCAGGAGCCACCTGAAACAAAAGCCCCAACTCCCTCTGACCAGGGCAGCCCAGAGAGCTCGTTAGCAGCAGCCCCACCTAGCTAGAACTTCCCAGGAGAAGTTAAGTCAAGGTCCCCTGCAGGAGTCCTTGCCCAGCTCTCCCTTCCTGCTAGCAGCAAGCACCGTCTAGTTCCTCGGGGGTCCCCAGAAAGTCTCCACAACTTCCAACAAGGCCCACAAAAGGCCCAGGCAGAGCCCAGACACTGCTGCGCAAACTGCTGCGTCTGTTCGCTGCCTCTGTTGGCTGCGCTCTGGGAGCTGCGCTCTAGGCCTGGCTCTTATATAGGCCTCTGCCTAGCAGTGACTCACAAGGGTGCTTGACCCACCCAATCAGGAGCCACCTGAAACAAAAGCCCCAACTCCCTCTGACCAGGGCAGCCCAGAGAGCTCGTTAGCAGCAGCCCCACCTAGCTAGAACTTCCCAGGAGAAGTTAAGTCAAGGTCCCCTGCAGGAGTCCTTGCCCAGCTCTCCCTTCCTGCTAGCAGCAAGCACCGTCTAGTTCCTCGGGGGTCCCCAGAAAGTCTCCACAACTTCCAACAAGGCCCACAAAAGGCCCAGGCAGAGCCCAGACACTGCTGCGCAAACTGCTGCGTCTGTTCGCTGCCTCTGTTGGCTGCGCTCTGGGAGCTGCGCTCTAGGCCTGGCTCTTATATAGGCCTCTGCCTAGCAGTGACTCACAAGGGTGCTTGACCCACCCAATCAGGAGCCACCTGAAACAAAAGCCCCAACTCCCTCTGACCAGGGCAGCCCAGAGAGCTCGTTAGCAGCAGCCCCACCTAGCTAGAACTTCCCAGGAGAAGTTAAGTCAAGGTCCCCTGCAGGAGTCCTTGCCCAGCTCTCCCTTCCTGCTAGCAGCAAGCACCGTCTAGTTCCTCGGGGGTCCCCAGAAAGTCTCCACAACTTCCAACAAGGCCCACAAAAGGCCCAGGCAGAGCCCAGACACTGCTGCGCAAACTGCTGCGTCTGTTCGCTGCCTCTGTTGGCTGCGCTCTGGGAGCTGCGCTCTAGGCCTGGCTCTTATATAGGCCTCTGCCTAGCAGTGACTCACAAGGGTGCTTGACCCACCCAATCAGGAGCCACCTGAAACAAAAGCCCCAACTCCCTCTGACCAGGGCAGCCCAGAGAGCTCGTTAGCAGCAGCTCCACCTAGCTAGAACTTCCCAGAAAAAGTTAAGGCCTCCTGCAGTTGTCCTTACCTAACTCTCCCTTCCTGCTAGCAGCAAGCACCGTCTAGTTCTTTGGGGGTTCCCAGAAAGCCTCCACAACTTCGAACAAAGTCCATAAAACGCCCAAGCAGAGCCCAGACACTGCTGCGTCTGTTTGCTGCGCTCATCTCACCAACTTTCTCCTAAACTTAAGTAAGTTAATGTTGGAACTCCAACTAAAAGAATGAATTTTTTTCTGTAGAAAATTTAGAACAGCTTCATCTCTCTTTTGTAAAAAATGCTTTATTATGGATCATACAGCAACCCTTTCCTGCCAGTCTCCTGGGAGGAAAAAAGAAAAAAGGGCGGGGAGGGGGGGAGTTGTAATTCCTTTCCCATAGCACAGTGTGGTCTGGATCATCCTATTATTCACTTCATTTATAAATACCCTGTCATGAACTAGGCCAGAGGCAAGGGACTAATGAGAAAGCCCTGATTTTACAATCAGAAATACTCTTTTTTTTTTTTTTTTAGAGTCATTCCTAAAGTTTATCATTAAAAAATATATCCAAAAATGTTGATTTGCTAAAATTGAACTTTTTGTGGAAATGAATACATGCATAAGCATGCACATATACAGACATGCAGATACTGATATACAGAGCCACCAGTAAATTCCCCAGCATTTATAGGATTAGTTTGGGATTCAAGACATTTGGACTCAAAACTTAAACAGGGAGGGGCTCCAAGAAGATAATCCCCCCAGCTCACAGAAAAAAAGCACTGGAATTTCTTACCAAGAATGAATTCCTCAAATATCCCCAGTGGTTTAGGACCACAAGTATGGCTATGACATTTTGTTTGGTCATGCTTCCCTCAGATTAGCCTTCTAAATAAGGCTAACTTGGTCACCTCCTGCTCAGGAGTGTTTATGAGGAGATTATTTTCCCTTGGAGGCCATGCTTCCTGCACTGACTGGTCAGCTATGTCAGCTCCTAGCACCAACAGACATGCATCTGAGGTGAGAGGTATTGTGGTTTGGATATGAAGCAAAAGTATAATTTTTTTCCTCTACCATTTTTTAGTATGAAAGACTGAACAAAATTAGTTCCTTGTACTGTAAGGGTGGCCCAGTCTCAGACATATGCCTAAATGAGCTATTTATCCAAATAATAAATTATGTGAAACCCACTTGAGAGTCAGCATCTGCTATAGCCAACATTATCTTGGAGAATATCTTCAGAACTAGGGCCAAACAAAATGAAAACTAGCTGAATTTAAAACGCCAGGTGTTCAAAGAGAAGCTGGGTGGCTCTAAAAACAGGAAGTACTGGAAATGTATAAGCAGATATCTTCAGGTCTACTCATCTCAGGAAATCTCCTTGACCGATCTTTAAGCATTGAAGTGAAGGATTCCATTATGAGCAAGTGAAATTTTCTGAACTGGCTTGCTTGCAACACTAAAGCAACTCCTCTCACGCCTCCTCACAAAACAAACAAAAATAAAACAAAAACATACACGGAGAAACTGGAAGTAAAAATCCATTCTCTTGCAATCTTCAGAAGTAATAAGGGACTTGTAGGAAAAGCACTTTTTTTGTTTTACAAAATGTGAAGAGGTACCAAAGAAGGGGGGAGATGAATAGGAAACCAAGAAGGTATTACTGGGATAATAGATGGCTTTCAAATTTGATTAAAAACAAGGGAGCTCCCGTTCTACATCTTAACATACTGCGGGCTGAAAAGCACTGGTGGTCTAAACACTTGCATATTCAAGAGAAAAACTGAGAAGGAAAGCATGCATGTAACTGTAAACATTAACAATTACTGACATTCTCAAAAACGGAACTAGGATTAGAAAGGGAACCTCTCCATTGCAAGAGAATGGTTTCCTCCCTAACAAAAAAGTCCAAAATGAAAGAACATAGCTTTTTTCAGAAGGTGCCACAGGCGTACGCATTTGCTGCTTAGCAAAAGTCAGCTATGTTTAAATCTATGGTTCCTTCCCAAATTTTCTTTACAAAATGGAAATGCTGACATAATGTATGTCAGCCATGTGTTTCACAGACAAGTTTGTTCTGCCTGTGCTTGGCACTGCCTGGAAGAAGATAAATCCAAACCAGAAGACACATAATCACTTTAGCCTAATGCTGTGCTTGACCTAATAAGCCATTCCAGGAGACCACAAAAGTTGTTCTTTCCTGTATTTCCCCAAAAGGGAGCATGAATCAGAGGAGACAAACTGCAACTTTTTTTGTAGTTGTAGTAGAATATTGACAAAAGAATATTTGAAGAAAATATATACTTTAAGGGGCTGGAAGAGTAACTTAAAATTAGTTTTCTGCTTAATACCAGATCTTGAGTAATTTTATCAGCATCTCTGTCCCTGCCTGATGTACTGGAACTGCTGATGAAGTAGCACAGGTAGTATGTGCTGCTTCCCACCACTTTTTATGTCCGTAACTTCTTTTTCTTTGTTCTCAAGTACGCAAATGTGCACGCACTCTCCAAGAGTTAAGAGGCTATTCAATTTTTAAACTTTTTCTTTCCATGTCACCACTTTACTGTTTTGCTTTCTCATCTAATTTAGATTTTCACTAACTTACAAAGTGAGGGGAAAAAAAAAACAAAGAATAAGGACAATTATTAATGAAAATATGAAAACAAACATGATCATGAATTTAGCATAGCTTTCTTTTAATAAACACAATAAACGAGGTATCAGAAAAACATAATATTTTATGTTTACATATATAGCAGAATATTCTGTTAAGTAATTGGAAGAAATCTCTATTGAAAGTAATATGAAATACTGGATTATGTGTATTTTAGGCCCTAACAAAAATATAATTAATGAAATTAAACAAAAAGAAAAAATAAAAACATCAGAAATCATGATGCATATAAATGTTCACTAGGTTTAAAACCTACTGCTCCCAAGTCAAGATTCTGCAAATAATCCAGGAAATGAATTAATATCAAAAGTAAATTTAAGACTGCTAAATGCCACATAGTTTAAGTAACTGTACTAACTTTATCTCAGAATTTTACTTAATAATATAAGAATTAAAGAATATTAGATCAACAACTATTAATAGTCACAACTCTGTAGTTTTTTTTTTTTTTTTAAGAAAAATCAAAGTGTACATCAAGTTGGATTTTGCTACTTTCTAGACAATAAAATTTTAGGAACTGTTATAGAAAGATCATTACAAGTTCTTACCATATCCTATGACAAATGGATTCCAACAGAGCCTTCCCAGAAGCTGGCCAATTAAAGGAAACTGCTGGATTGCCAAAATGAATTCTGTTAAACAAATTAAAAAAAAAAAAAAAGGATAATAAGTATACTATGCCTCAAAAGCAGTTTAGGAACATTGTTAATGATAGAGATTGTTGTAAATTACAATCCCAATGACATTGCTGTGAAATGCTCTGGAAAGCAAAATCTCTTCAGCAAAACTTCCTGAAATCAGCTATAATATCAAAACAGTTAAAGCTAAAGTAACTAATTTCCTCAGCTAATACGTAATTATAGTAGAAAAAAATTCCTCTCATAAAATTAAAAAAGCACAATTGATATACATTTTGTTGCCCCTTATTGCTTTAATAAGGTGTGTCATAGAGTTTCTGAAGAAATGACTACATGCTATGGCATAAAACTAAGAATCTTTCTCTTGCTTTTGCTTGCTTTCTTTAAATTAAATGACATAATGACTAGTCAGCAACAAACTGTCATTTAACATCTGGCAAAATAGAAAGCAGCTTCACTATAAAAGTGGTAGGCAGCGTAGTTTATATACAATCCTGTGTAATCAGTCTTATTTTTCCATTTTTGTAGCTTTACTATCTAATAAATGAAGGCTTTTAAAAATGGTACTGTGCTGAGATAATGTGCAAGTAGCAGGAACAATAACCATCTCCTGCTGCTGCAATAAATTCCTTAGATTTGTCTCACATTTGGGGCTAGCCCTAGACTTTCTGGGACCATACGCACAAGGTCCATTTCAGGCCAAGCCTCAGATTACTTAAATAGCAACACTAATAATAGATTTTTTTTTCCTGTTTAATTATATCTTTTTCATCAGATATACACACAAAGGAAAAAGCAGCACTACCCAAAAATCTTTTATTTGAAAATTAAAATTTCAATTTAGAAAAAAATCCTGCAGTGTTGAGAGAAGAATAATATGTAAAATGAAATACTTTCATAAACACTCTACCTCATAGCATAATACAGTATTTCTAAGGATAACTATAGTGACTACACATACTGAAAAAAGTCATGCTCAGGAAAACATATATGCCGAAATAACAAAATTTACTTTAAAAAAGGTAATCTATTGACTACAGATAATAATTAAATTACCCGACAGAACAGCCAGCAGCATATGCCAATGATCTGACCATATTTCTAGAATTCACCATGTATGCCACAGCAATCAGGTTAGCATGTCAGCAGACTCTCTAAGATTTAAGGGATCAGTTACAATTTTGCATGTTAAGGCCTTTAAATAATCCAATTTATGACCTGACAACCAGAATCAAATTCTTGTTTATTTTAAAGAGGTTTTTAAAGAGGCTACAGGATTGGCTGGCAAATCTCACGTCAATACCACAATCTTCTTTGCTACTGTTAGCTTCTGGTTTTGTCAAAACATGGTTCAGACTGTTTCGGAGGCCGTCTTCAGAATAGTTCATTCTTCCTGTTAAATTACTTACCATATGTTTTAAAGTTTCATAAATCTGCTGTAGAAACTCCTGCAGTTGGGGCAAGTGACGGCACACATCCTTCTGGGATTCCAAAGTGGTGGCTTGACCCCACTCGGTAGCTTTATCCAACCAATACTCAAAGTTCAGTTTAGGCACTGTAGTACCCTGGGCCATGCCACAGTCCTAAAAAAGAATACAACTCCAAATCAGGTCGCTCTAAACACAGACCTGAGACCAAGAATGAGAGAGGGAGGAAGGACTTCGGCTAATTTTTTGTACTCAGATGGCAAAGGGGCAAAGAATGAAGGTTTTTCTCCTTTGTGATTACATCCCATAAGGCTGTCAATTTTCTTTTTAATTATAAGAGGGTAAAAGAATAACCCCATTGTAACAAAGCAGCAAAGGTGGCATAGTGATCAGTAAATTACTTTAGAATGGGCCACCCAGTTGGCTCTCAGGCTTTTATTATCTGAATTTGTCATCGCCAATATTTCTTTCAAAGAATATTAAAATAATGTGAGTGAGCACATGTGGGTACACAGAAACATTAATGCAATGTTTTCTTTGTGAAATATTATTTTTCTTTTCTCTAGTATTTTTCTTTTGCAAAAAAAGATTAGAATGCTTTGCATAATGGAAAACTGAAAATGTCTGTTTCAAGGTAAATTAAAGAACTAAAAGATTTTATTAAAAAACAAAGGGCTCTGGGGGGAGCAGGGAGGCTGTCACGTTTTAAGTTCTGCATTTGTAACTGGCCATTAGCTTTAAGTGCCAAACAAGTCTTCCTTAAAGGAAATTAATAAGCTTAGTATTTCAGCTATGTTTTTTTTTTATTTATTTTCAAACAAACAAGGGAAAAATTAAAGCATGACCATGTGCAACATCACGAATAACCCAGTTCTGATGAAAAACTGTATGATACATAGTCTATACCTAGTTACATACTTCACTGAAAAAACTGTGTTTGAGGAAACAGTATTATTGCTCAGTCACAATGTTAAAATTTTGAACAAAATTCCACCAGTAAAAGACCAAAAAAAAAGAGGCAGTAATTGTTTTTCCTGTTTTGCTATTATTATATTTTTCATCAGTAGAAAGACAGAGAATAGTGCAGCAGGCTCTACGTTAACCTTTAAATCTATCTGAAAGAAACACCTTACAGGCTAAGTGAGCTCTTCAGCCTTTCAATCTTTGTCCTTTTTTTTAAGATTGTAAAGATAACTGTCAGTTAAGGCCAAATATGGTGGTAGTTTTCAGATATGAAATGATGCCCACATGGAGGCAGGTTCAGACATTAGTAGAAGCAACTGAAATCTGTGGATATTTATCTTCTGCATGGACTATGGACTTGGAGCTATAGACAAAAAATAAACCTGAATCCAAGCACTAGCCCTGCAAATCAAGCCTGCTTTATACAGTTCTCATTAACTCTTTACATTCACATCATTTAAATAACAGGCTAATCCAAGCCAGCTAAAAATCTTAAGATTAATACACTTTCTAATAGTAATATTCAGATAAATCCCTCATAATGAATCACAGCTATTACGAGTTGGATTCTGTCCAGCAAGAAAACACTTAAACAAGTAAGGTAAGGCAATTGTCTGGCCAGAGTTCAAAGTACGTTTGCTCTAAACATGATCAAAATACTGTAAGTAAAGCCTGTGCTTTTTGCGTTCTTTATTATACTCCCATTTCTGTTTGCAACTGTTGCCATCAGTAGAACTCTTAATGGATCTGTGCAGTGCCAAAATCCTACTGATTTTCTAAATATCCCTGAACTACTAGGCATTAAAAATCGACTATGTGACTCCATCACAATAGCTCTCTGGTAAATGACATAGGTCAAACATCCAGCTGCAATTAGCCATCAAACTCACTATTATCACAGAATATATATAGATGTTATATGTGTGTGTGTGTGTGTGTGTGTGTGTAATATACATATTGTTATATTATTATATTATATACATTACATATTGGTTAAAAATAATGTTCCCTAAAAAAAAAAAAAAAAAAAAAAACCACACCAGCATAAACAAATGCACACTCAAGTATTTTGGGGCCAGTCACAGAGGGAACTGAAGACTGCACAGAGAGGAGCTCCAGGTAAGCAAATCAAACAGGCTTTTCTCCCATATAAGGTATATAAAATAATTATTTCAACCTGCACACTGGCACAACAATTACACAGCAAGTATAGTCTTTTTCCAGAAGTTTGATAACCCAGCTTCACAATAAGGTTTTACCTCCCTTCTTAACTATACATAAACTTGCAGATCCACAGCAATTGCTTAGCAACTCCTTAGCTGGTCCAGAGCAATTTCCTTAAATAAAAAACAGTGAGAGACTGAGATGCACATTATTGTTTAACCACAAAAAAAAGGAGAAACATCAATACATAGTTTAAGAGAAAGAAAAATCTTAGAAGTTTATATATGCAATAGTCTGCTACATACATGTTTATTTTTAGTTTCTGATAGTTAATTCCCTTAATATACTTGTTCTGAATCTCTTAGATATGAGCAAAGTACCTTATCTACAGAACATGTTCTAGTCACATAAATAAAACAATTTATGATGTATGAAAGCATAAGCAGAGGAGCTGCACACACACACACACAAACTTAAAAATCCTTGACTTAAGAGCCTGTCTTCTAAAGGATCAATACTGAACTTGCTCCCTTCACATCATCATCTATATCTCACAATTCTCCCAAATCAAATCTCAGAAATTTAGAAGTTTTACCCACAGTTTAATGCTCATTCATGAACAAGTCCATGACAAAGATGGAGGCACCAGCTTTCTGTCCAGTTTCTAAAGTAGATTAAAGGACAAATAAGCATATTTTTCTGATATTCTTCTGTGTAAATAATTTTCTAAAATTGCCTTAGAATGACTGCAATATAAGACATAAGGAACAAGTGATCTATATGACTATGAGAGCACAAAGCCCACAATGCATATTTGTAATAAAAATGCGGTACATACACTGAGAACTAAACAATCAAAAGTGATATGAACAATAATCTTAGTTATGAGTATTTTTAGGGAGAGGAGGCAAGGTTGATCATTTCTGTAAAATGTTATATATGAACTACTCTTGCTAATCCAGTGGTGATAGAGTCATTGCTATTATCTGGTTTTGGATACTATCAATTTACATTCTTAAAAAACATATACCGAGATCAACAAAGGAGTATATTAAGGTAACATTTCTGAAAATTGCTGTGTTGTTCATATAGGCAGTTGGTCCTGGTTCAGCACTTCAGTATGCTTCAATCCATTCTTAACCAAGAACATGCTTAACTTAAATGTACTAAACAGTTTGCTGGATCACAGCCTTGCTTATGCTAGACTAAAATAAAACCAGGGAAAAGGAAAACCCATATTTTACACACCTATTCTACTGGATGTTTTTTAGGCTGTACTTATTTGTTTGCTTTCCTCAGAAGCCTCCAGTGAAATAGCAATTTTCTTTATGTACTTACTTAAACTTACTATAGCATCCACTGCTAAAAACAAAAGAACAATTTTATTAATTTAACTCAATCCTGTCTTTACCTCAACATTACTGGAAAGCATACAGTAAAATTACTGAATGTATAAATAACACAATTAAAAAAAAATCATGACATACCAAACCTAACACAAAGATTTCATCTCAAAAAGAATCACAGAACATATAGTTTATTAAGAAAAGAAATATAAAACCACGGGATAGTTAAATTTAACTAAGAGTTAACATTTAGACCTAATAAAGTATGAAACATTTACCTACAGAAACTATAGATAACAAAGTCCTGGTTCATAATTTGACCTGTCATACTGTCAAGTGTATTTCCAAGCTCTTTCAGGTTCATTTTCACTTTCTTCAGTTAGCTGGGACTCCTTTTGTTTCAGCTTCCACAGTCAAAAACTGTCTCTTATTTTTGACTATTTATGCAAGAATATTAGAAATTTAGAAGCTGGATTTACTATACGTTGCCTTACACTTAAGAAGGAAGGGGAAGAAAAAGTCCTATTGCTCCTCTTGCAGAACCTGCCAGTCAAACACCCCTGCCCTTGTACTTACAGGCATGGGGAACCCTGCAGAGCTTAAGCATTAGGGTATTTGTTACATCTTTCAGAAGCTGAAGGCAGCATTTCTAATAAGGAATGGATTAGCTTTATTCTGTCAAGTGAGCTATCTGGATTAGTGTCTGAAATGTAACATTTTAGTCACTAACTTCTGTTATCTCATCTTGAGGCAAAGCTCTACAGTATACCAGCGCACTGCACTCAACAACCGATTTAGAACTACATTCTCCTGAACACATACGTACAAATATCACACTATCAAAGTCTTCCATAGAAAACATTCTCATTTACTGTTCATCTACAGTAGAGAATGAAATATTTGAAAAAGTTGAAGAGAAAGTTTTCAGAAAACTGTCTCCTTACCTAGAGTCTGAAAATGAAATAATATCCCTCCATCCAGCATATAAAGTAATAAAAGAGTAAGCTTTTTTTCTCTACAAGCACAGAGAGATGCACTCATTTTAAACAAAATCATAAGAAACTCAGTAAAAGCAAAGTAACTTCTTCATTACTCCAAATCCTGAAATACAGACCTGCTAATAACAAAAAGTATCTGCAGTTGCTAGAAAATACAGCTCCTTAGAAAGAATTTCTGTCTATCATAGAAAATTCAGCTGGAAAAGGTTTTTAAAGCTTTCAATGACCCCCAATCTACCTTCAATGGATTGCCAAAAAATGACTACTAAATACTTAAAAGATTAAAGACCAGACAAGTAATAAATTCAGCTATGATTTTTTAAGTAAATAAAAGCATTTCAAGCAGAAAGATCTGAGATATCATTTAGGTACATTATTGCTTTATGTCATAGCACCAAGGTTTCCAAATGTGACAAAAACTTGTATTCAAGATATTAAAATCTCATTCATGTACCTTTCCTTGAATTGGTGGTAAGTAGCTTCACACTCCAAGAGAACACTTCACTTTCCATTACTCCATCTCCTCTCTCAAGTCATACCAGCAACCTCAGCCTGTGAGAAAAGAAAACCAGTTAAAATATTTATACGACAGCAGGGTCCAGAGGCTCCAACCAGAACAGGTCTCTGTTGAGCTAACAGAACATATAAAGATGTTTCACGCTGCACATGATCTTTAGGGTTGCTGCACTTACAAAAGCAGGAGAAGAGTCTTTTTAATGCACGTTCGCTATTACTCTAATGGACTTGTAAGCACTCCAGTATATTTTATAATTGAAAGATACCATGCTTTAGCCCCTTAGTTAAACATCAAATGAACTATGATAGTATATGGTTGATACATTAATATAGCAGAAGACTCTCTTAACTTCCTCTTTCCAGGTTTTGAAGAGGATGATAATCAAGCCACAGATTTACTTCCAAACAGATGTTATGCCAAAAAAGTAGTAATTATTCAGAATAAAGACACTGTTTTCTCATTTACTATTTCTCTCTACAAAACATCTTTTGGGTTGTTTCATCCGTTTCCACACAAATCTCTTTTTCATCTTCACCTTGACAACTCTCCTTACACTTGCCAAGACTTAACAAAGTACATATTAGGTTTTCTTTTAAGTAGTAACATTTCTAGCATTCCTCATTCCTCACTTTAAAGATAACACATTACTAACCCCAAGGAAATAAATTCAGAAAAAAATTATTGAGTGAATTACTGAGGGTTGTGATCAGCGGCATAGTCTAGTTAGAGGCCTGTAGCTAGCAGTGTCCCCCAGGGGTCAGTCCTGGGTCCAGTCTTGTTCAATATATTCATCAGTGACCTGGAGGAAGGCACAGAATGCACTCTCAGCAAGTTTGCTGATGATACTAAACTGGGGGGAGTGGCTGACACCCCAGAAGGCTGTGCTGCCATTTAGAGGGACCTGGACAGGCTGGAGAGCTGGGCGGAGAGGAACCTCCTGAAGTTCCACAAAGGCAAGGGCAGGGTCCTGCACCTGGGGAGGAAAAACCCCCCGCACCAGGACAGACTGGCGACTGACCTGCTGCAAAGCAGCTCTGCCGAGAAGGACCTGGGAGTGCTGGTGGGCAACAAGTTAAGCACGAGCCAGCAGTGTGCCCTGGTGGCCAAGAAGGCCAGTGGGATCCTGGGTTGCATTAGGCAAAGTGTTGCCAGCAGGTCGAGGGAGGTGATCCTGCCCCTCTACTCGGCCCCGCTGAGGCCTCACCTGGAGTCCTGTGTCCAGTCCTGGACTCCCCAGGACAAGAGGGACATGGCACTACTGGAGAGAGTCCAGCGGAGGGCTACAAAGAGGATGAGGGGACTGGAGCATCTCTCCCCTGAAGGAAGATTAAGAGAGCTGTGCCTCTTCAGCCTGGAGAAGAGAAAACTGAGAAAGGATCTGATCAATATGTACAAATATCTGAAGGGAGAGTATCAAGAGGATGGGGCCAGACTCTTCTCCGTGGTGCCCAGCGACAGGACAAGAGGCAACGGGCACAAACTGAAACACGGGAAGTTCTGTCTGAAAAACAGGAAATGAGGAAAAACTTCTTGACTGTGAGGGTGACAGAGCACTGGAACAGGTTGCCCAGAGAGGTGGTGCAGTCTCCTTCGTTGGAGGTGTTCAACAGCCGTTTGCACAGAGTCCTGGGCAATGTGCTCCAGAGGACCCTGCTGGAGCAGGGGGGTTGGCCTGGATGATCTCCAGAGGTCCCTGCCAACCTCAACAATTCCGTGATTCTGTGAAAGAATGAATAAATTTTAGAAACTTCAGAAAGGCCCACGAGTAGTGAAGACTAAATACAAATTACAGATATTTATATTAACTAGAGAACATTTTTCCTATCTATTCTGGACAGTCCACTAATGTGCCGTGTTGATTTTCTAATTTTTTAACTAAAATAACTTTTCAGATAAATACAAGTTTGCCTATTCCTCTTTGTGCCTACATCCACAGATCTCTTACAGCATAAATGTGCCACTATAGATAGTCTGTCTGCAAGAGACTTTTGAAATTAAACCAAATGGTATGCAAGTATCTCCTCCCTCTTCCTCTGAGAGCAAAACCAAAAGAACAGAGTCTTGCCAAAAGAAAGGAAGCAACATTGGCTAAGGTGGGTTGCTGAAGTACATGCAAAACTAATAGTTGGCAAGCAGAGGTAAAGGCTGATATAATATCTCAATCTCTGGACTGATAATTCTCCCTGGGAAAGGAATATGCTCCTCCGAACTGAAGGAGGAATGTTTCCACTATTTACTCATAGAATTAATATTTTAATGGCTGTGAGATCTGCATTCAGAAATACATTATCAGGTCTCACTGGAAAATTTCATCATCAATTTTCATCTTTAAGGGACTGTGGCAACTACCAAGACTGTCCTGATGGACAGTGTATATGTGAAACTTCCTGCAAAGGTTTAAATCTGAGTAAAGTTACAAACAGCAAAATGAAGTTTCTGCTTGTGCTTTGTCACCTTGTAGGACTGGAAAAGACCTGATGTCCTGAGGAAGCATGAGCTTTAGGACCAATAAATATTCTTTATTAGCCTTCCTTTTGGAAATCCTGATAACAGTAACCATTTCACACAAAAATTGTTTTTAAAACTTTCTGATCCTAATGGCAGGCTTGTCTTGCAACAGGGGATCTCACCTCTGATAGACACGTTTGCAAAGCCTGTGAATAAAACCTTCAAGGAAAGAGGCAGAAATAATAACCCAGCACATCTCCCTAATTCTTATCTTTTGCCCAAGGGAACAGTAAAAGACGCAGAAGACATTTAGAAATGATATCAACCAATCTCACAGATGTTATTAGTTACCTTTCCATCATGAATCCTAACAGGTCAACAAAGCAATTAATTATCATTTCCAGAGGCAAAAGAGGTGACTGCTAGCCCACAAAACAGACTACTTAGTCTTAAGGCACAAAATGATTACAAAGTCTGATCATAAGCCATTGGAAGCCACTCCTGAAAGCAATGCAGCAATTGAGTCTTTTGACACAGGATTCTTAATGAGTATAAAATAAATAGGTTTCATTTTACAGGACAGACAGACAATAAGGCAAAGTACCTTTACATCTCTGTACACAATTCAGCAAAATACCATACAGTATAAGGTCCTAAAATAGAAGAATTCCAACTTCAGAACTAGCTAAAGCAAACCCAGCAAGGCCCACATAAAGCTGTCCGTACTATTACATGAGGAATCAGCTGCCTGTACAAAATCGAAATTTGTTTCAAGGCAAGAGAGCAAATTGCAGATTTCACTAGTGCACATTGATGTAAACCAGATCAACATGGCCTGCCAAAACAGAAGCCAAACTTGAAAAAAACAGGGGACTTCTGGCTCCCCATTTAACTACTTGCTTCTTCTTTCCTAGCTGCATTGCTAATCTCTCATCAGAACCAGCAACCTACCAAGATTTCCAAAGGTAACAACAACTTATGATATATAACAGAATATAGCAGAAGCTAGAAGTGACATGCAGGACATGATGAACAGAAGCACAAACAGGTACACGCCTCACAGTCTTCTGGAAACAGTGGGGGAAAAAAAAATCTCCTCTCAACAAATTTCCCCTGAAAGGCAGAAACTTACATACTTCTCACACAGTCTAAACTTAAAACTTTCCAAGATATTTTGGTAACGCTCAGGTCACTTTAATGTGACAACCTTTTCTATTGCTTGAGGGATGAAGATTTTTTTGTATGGGTCTAATGAAGATGAATGCTAAAATATTCTCAGATTTGTTTTGCTGGACAGAGCCTTTTCACTGAACCTAATTCCTTCCCAACTGGCTTCTGGGGCAACAGCTGCTATTAAGGCCACACAAAGAGAAATGCAGCTAGGAAGAAAATGTGAACAAAAATTAAACGCAGCTCTGGAAAGAGGAATTAGGTCTGCTTCAGCCTATAAACTGCAGGAGACTGAATTGCCTCTGAAGAGTATCTGTGAACATAAAAATAATTTATTTTTATAGCATTTTGCAAAAAGCCCAATCACCGTTAACACCCGTTTGGCTAGTAATATCACAGATCAATTGAGAATGGACGTCCAATATCAGTATTTTACATGCCAATATCAGTATTGTGTAGGCTACACAATTTAGACCTTCTTTGGCAGGCTAGAATATAAGGAACAAAATTCTGAATCTGTTGAAATCAGCAGCAAAATTGTTATTAGTCTCCATGAAGCCTAAATTTCACACAAGGCATTCAGAACATTGGGAACCTTATCCACACAAGAGCCCACAAAGTTGGCAACATTAGCAAAGTCAGATCAGTATTAGTAACAATGAGAAATTCTTGTTAGATTAAATGTATTGTTTGTATCACCTGCCAGAATTCAGTCTGCCAGCTAATGCTTCATTCAGTATCTCATGGGTCATCCAATACAAACTGTGACTATTAAGTTTTCATCACCCTCTCCTGGCAAACAGCACCTTCTCATATACTCTTATTTGAGACAATGCAAAGATATGAACGAACTATACTTAGATACAAAGTCATTTTTAACACCAAATACAAATTGTGCTTCCTCCATTACACTTTAACATGTGCTTGTCACTGCCTCCAGCTTAAATCCACAGTTGTAAATTCTGATTGTAACTTCACATTCCTAAAAGGTTTTCTTCACCCTCTTCTTTATAGAAAAAACAATTCTTCGGAGAAAACAAAACAAGCAAACACAAAACAAATAAACAAAAAAACTCTGATCTGAACAAACACAATATCAACCAACTTGACTTCCCCTGCCATTGAACCTCCTACCCAATTAACTTTTGTTTATATATTGCTTGAGTGGCATACAAAGAAATAATTTCCTTTAAATTTCATTCCTCTGCAAAAACCTTAGCCTGAGATAGTTTCAAAGTTTCACCATGAAATATATAGCTTTTCTCTCTTTCCAGAGTTACAAGACTTTGAGCTAGCAGCAAGGGGGCTCTGTATACATATTAATCCTTGGCACTTCCTTGCCTTTTAGTTTTCACTTTTGAGTTCTCCAATTAACAAAAATGCAGTAATTCCCTAGTTTC